GTTTAAGCATCGAAGACCCCGGGGAGTTTTTGTATATCCCACTACTCCCACAATGATCATAGGCGGAGTTTCGACTATAGTGACGGGCTCGCATGTTTCTTTTTTATGTAATTCTAGAAAAATCCAGTGTAAGAACAACGATTCATTAATTATATAAAATCACCATACAGAAAAAAATTAGAATTTATCAAATAAGATGCATACAACACAATGTACAAAAAACAGCCCCCGAAAAAAATATTATTATACATACTTGATCCTGGTTTCTCAACTTCTCTCACAATGTGAGTCATGCCAGCCTTGTAACCCAAGAATGCAGTCAGTCTGCATGGTTTGGTAGGGTCATCCTTAGGAAATGCCTTCACTGCATATGATATATTGACTCAGTGAATGTGGAGACGGTAGATTTGCACATATCAAACAATGCAGACATTTAAATTTATTCATTCATTGAATTGGAATCTTGTTTTCAACCAGGAAAAAATCTGTCTACACCATTTAACAAGCACCAAATCCACGAATATATATTATCTAAAACATAAATTGAAATAATGTAGTCAACAATGTTATCTTTAAATAAGTAGTAACAATTGAATGAATAAGAGCGATCAAATGTTACTACTTTCTCTACTCAAAAAACCTATTAGTACTATTAATATAAAATAATAAAAAGAGCAGTTATAATAGACAAACGCGTGACAAAGTTTTGAACCAAATATGTACACATACTATGGGTAAATGTGATTACACTTTCAGAAAGCAAATCTAGTACATGGCTATTTGACAACTCGTGTAATAAACTACAAATAATATAATCATATATTTATTTACCATAAGTTATTTTGGAGTAGATATTTGTCATCTAATGCAATACATTTACAACCTAAACAAATACAAAGATAATGTAGTAACAATAATTTACTTTACATAAAAAATTGTGACTACGCACATAAAAATTCATACTCCAGTATATATTATCTGTACACAATGCTGAAGATATAAGTACAGCTAAACTAATTATTGAACTAAAATGCTCAGAGGTTGTTAGAATCAAAATAAATTTCTGGACCAAAAATTATCAAGTATAAACACAGCTTTTGTTCAGAAGCACGAAACAACTTAAGCTGCTTTTTATTGCCAACAGATTCACGAATTTCCGTTGCACTCTGTTTTTATACGATCTCTCTCTTATAGTATTTAGACACCTCAAGAGCTAATCACTTGTTTTAGCTTCCTAAATATAATGAAATGCAAATATTATAAACAGCCAGATGACATTGCTATTTGAACAAATTAAGGACACATGCATATTTGAATCAAATCACGACTAAAATCATGAGATCTGAAGCAGAACAACCAACGAAATCATACCCTTTCCCCTGTGTCGAGAAGCGCGTTTCCTGGGAAGAAATCCAAGGGAACCATGCCTAGGGTGCTCAAACTTCCTGTGAGACATCTTCCCGCTCTTGCTTACAACTCTGCAGTCGAACAATAATCAAAGGAGAATTAAATCAACGAAAAGTTGGCTAATTTCGAGCCATTACACTACAATCAAATCGGTGTTGAGCAAATCGAAGCCAAAATAATTTAACCTATAAACCAAAACTCGTGAAATTGAAAAAAGATGGGACCTGTTGCTAGTCGGCCACCTCCTGGCGAGCTACGAGCTTCAACCCTAACACCGCAAAACCCTATATGAACAAAGGTTATAAATATATCCAGTTAGGCGATACGTGGTAGGCTTAGGGTTAGAAAGAGATGTTTGAAAGCCCAAATATGTTTGTTCTGGACAACTCGAATACTTGGAAGTGGTTAGAAAGAGATGTTTGAAAGCCCAAATATGTTTGTTCTGGACAACTCAAGAATACTTGGAAGTAGGGTGGTTCAGTACGGTATCCCGAATATTTTGTCGCATACCTTTATCATACTGTAAACTTTCGATATGCAAAAATACATATTGTTACCATACCGAAATTTCGGTATACCTTTATCAATTTCGGTACGGTCAGGTACGGTATCGGTAAATTATCATGATTTAATATAACAAATTATTATATGTCAAATGAAATAAAGAAAATCAGTGTTAATAGTGATATGCTAAAATCATTAATGAAATTAATTATAAAATACCAATGAGATAACATATATGTGTTCTGTTCAACTTTGAACAAAAAATATTATAAATATGTATAGATATTTCAACACACGATATATGAAGATAACAACACATTTTGCTAAAATAATTTGAACAACATAAATATAATTAAAATAACACCGATTTCCAATAAAAAGTACAAATAATTCAAGAAACATGGATATAAAGTCATTTATCCTTGAATTAGTGTTGTGTTTCTAGTTTTTTTTTATAATTATAAGGAAATTATTGGCTTGGAATTACGGTATGACGCTATACCGGTATACCGCTTATTTCCAAAATATATATCGATACCATACCGAAGTAATTCGGCACGATATCATACCATACCAAAAGTGTCGGTATACCAAACATTTTGGTATTTTTCGATATGGTAAGTCCGGTATACCAAAATACACTCCTCCTGTATTTATAGACTTGTTTGTTGAATGCCTTCCGTTGTTTGGAGAGATTCAATCGTAGGTTGATCCCCTTGAATGATCCGCTTGATTGATACATTGACCGAAGAACACATGGTTGAATTTTGTCCTTTTGTGTCACGAGTTGTGACCTTGTACAAGTTGTATTCCTCATTTTAAAGTATGTGGCTTTAAGATAATGCGTTTATCTTTAGCCACAGATTGAATATAAAGGTATGTTGTCTGTTTGTTCAATGCTCTCCTGAGTATATAGATCTCTAGCCTTTTTGTGCAAAAATAAATGTCCATGTGAAATCTAGCAAAAATAGAAAGATATGAATGTTACAAATACCTTACCGGAGAGTCTGTCGGAATCTAGCAAAATCTGATGTCCTCAAAATGCCCATGAATTTTTTTTACCCTCGGGTTGCTAAAGATTTTTGTGGATTTCAAAGCTAAAATGTAAAGGGAAGAATACGGTAAAAAATCTCTGCACTCCTTTCAAATTTCAAAGGATTTCCCGTGAGATTCACCACGAGCTTGTCGGCTACATCACTGGAATCAAAAGTTGGGGATGAGAGCTCCAAATTCGTTTGTCGTCCTTTCCTTCTCCAATTGCCTTCCTTCTCTTCTTCGATTTCCTTCTTTTCCTTCTTCGACATCCTCCCTTTCCTTTTTTAGCTGTGGAAGCTGCACAAATCTTGCGGCAGCAAAGTAGGATCAAGTGGAGCATGTGAGTAAGGAAACATGCAAATTAGAGTGACAAACCTACGCTTCGTGGTGGCAGCAACAAGCCAACAACACTAGCGACAGACATAGGTGTGGGAAAGAGGATTTCCAAATTTCATTAGAATCTCACAGATTCTATCTAATTTCATTCAATTCCATTGAAATCTTATTCCATTAAAATTTTATGGAATCTTATTTGAAGCCCCATATGTTCTTGACGATGGCTAAGAATGTAAGATATATGGCATTTCCCTGTGACCTGTGTTGGTGATTAACCGTTTTCAACACTGTTCTAAAAATCGTTCTAGGCGCCCGACTAGTCCCCGCCTAGGCGCTAGGCGGTGGTCGGGCGCCCCGACTTTAGTCTAGGCGCTCCGACTAATTGATTCGGCACCTAGGTGAATTAGTTGGTCTCCTAGGTAGCCTAGTTGCCCGCCCAGCGTGTTTAATGGGCCGCCCAGGCGTCTTGATTCATCATACGAAGAAAACTGCTAGTGAGTGTCTGATTAGGTATAATATATTATTAAATGTGATAATTTTATCATTTATGCATGTTAATGTGTGTATATATATATTTTTTACACACAAACACAACATTACTAATCATATTTATGCAAAAATATTGATAAAACTACAATTTCTATGTCTCCGACTAGTCCCCGCCTAGGCGCCCGCCTAGCCGACTAGGCGCTAGGCGCTGGGCTGACGCCCGACTAGCGCCTAGCGCCTTTTAGAACATTGGTTTTCAATGACGGAAAGACAGACGGACCAAGGAGCTGTGGTGGATATAGATGGCACTTTTGGTTTTGGTTCTGATTAAACTGTGTTATTATACCAGCTAGTGCTGGACTCGGGCCGGGCGGCCCGACCCGGAACCGGCCGGGCCCGGTCACTGTTTGAACCGGACCGAATCGACGGCCCGACCCAGGGGCGGTTCGGGTCGACCCGGCCTGGTGGGGTTCGGTTCCGGGCTCGGGCCCTCCATTTGGTGAACCGGCCCGGCCGGTTCAGGCCCGGTCCGGGCCGAATTTATTTATTTATTTTTTGATTTTTTTTTAAGTTTTTGGGTTGGACTGGGTATTTTGGGCCATTTGAGGTGGTTTGGGGTGAGGGGGGTGGGTTGGGGGTTAAATAGGAGAAGCCAAAAAAAAATATTACAAACCGGGTGGCCCGGCCAGGCCCGGAACCGGTGGCTACCGGTTCGGGCGCGGGCCCAACAAAACAGAACTGAGGCCCAGCCGGGCCCAAGCCCGAACCGGGCCCGAACCGGCCCGAGTCCAGCCCTAATACCAGCTATACGAGACGAATATATTCACCATTTTCATAGATCAATCAAATTATAAAAGAACTTCCTACATGTTAGCATTCCAATAACAAGCAATTCATCAATGGTCTAATTAAAAATTACTCCGTAATATTTTCTTCAAAAATACGAAGACTGTTTATTAAACATAACCCTAAGGACTGCAGTTAGCTTTTTCCCATTTAAGCTGGTCCCAGTCTCATAGATCTGATCTTCTTGAGATAACATGCTATGGATGGGCCTATGGTCCTCCGTCCCATCATCCCATGCTGAGTATGCAAGAAAACAGAAATGGTGTCAATGGTGAATTGGTGATATAGCATTACCCATATGACATTATGACCATTCACGAGCTTAAAGTATCATACATGATTCTTTTCCCTAAAATTTTGAAACGCTACTCCGTAACGATTACCATTAGTCAAGCAAAACTGATGCAGATAAATCTGGTGGAATGTAAAACCATCACACGCCAAAACTAGAGTTAAGTCCCCAACTTAGTCAGACTCATAGTTAGCAAAGAACTAAAGCATATAGATACATATATGATCAACACGAAGAAGCCAAAACTAGTAGCAGTAGTAGTACTCATCGTCTCAACTACAACCCCCAGAAAGATTGTAATGACAATATTACTAATAGTGTGTTGGAGGTAAGAACTGCAGCATATCTCTCAACAATCAACCATGATCAGCAATGAATGGGTGGTCGGGAGGGGGATCAAAAGCTGTTTTTATTTTGACCAAGCAACTGAATCTATTTCCGTTTGAGCAGCTCTGTACAGCTCCAGTCTCTTGGCTAAGGACAAACGTCTCTGCATTATAGCTGGGTCCTCGTCTAACAGCCTCCCCAGCTGACTCCCCTGCAAACCAAAACCAAGTCACTATATAAAGTTATTACTCCATTAAATCCCTCTCACATCTATATAAAAACAAGCAAACCCCATTCTTGCCTCCTTTTTGCCCAACTCGGCGAAGAAGTGGTCAAGCAAGCTACGCTTTGCTTCTCGTACTTGACAGTAAACAATAGACTTTGGAATTGAGTTCCTCAAACTAGCACAAACCATATTCACATAGGACAACACATTTGATCCTGTTTAGTGCCATACGCACAACACAAAAGCTTGTTAGTTAATTCCAGCAACAAAAATAGTAGTAGTCCAATAAAAAATGTGATCCAGCGGCTTACCAATTCTACGCAGGTAAGAATCATTATATCTATCGAATATGGAATGTGTTGGATTTCCACCCTTCTCGATATCTTGAGGAAGCTTCCGGAAGAAATCAACAGTGAGGTAACTACACTCCATCTCAACAAGCTGTAAAGTTGCTTTCTTGCTCTCATCCCTCATTCTTTCCAGTGATTCTATAGCTGCATTACTCACCTCTACTCTAAGAGATGGGTACTGCTTAAGCTCCTGCACGCCATAAAAGTCCACTTTTTAACTCACCTTGCACGATTTACTGATTATACTTGCTCTTTTGTCAAGGCACTTTTCAGAGCATTAAATAACAAGAAATCCCAAATCCAAAACCATGTGAAGAGAGTGTGGAGCTTACTGCGGTCTCACTAACTGCCTTGTGAACAAGATCCTTGAGTATAGCATGAACCTAGAAGATTGTATCAAGGTAAGTGACTCACTATTTTAACCATACAATTATTGAAAAGCAGCTGAAGAAATAATGTGGTACACCATGGTTGCCATTACCGCATCAACAGAAGCCTCAGCGGGACCCTTGATGCTGATCACTGAAGATTCAATGAGACGACGATATCCTTGTTCAGGAGCAATCAAGTGAGGTTGATAACCATCAGCTTCAGTTATAAGCTTCCGGACATTTTCCATGGAAAGATGCTTGTCAAATTGTAACCTTTTCAATGCAGCGGGGAGCTGATTATCGAATACATTATAAACTTTATCACCTCCTGGTCGGCTGTAAAATTGGTGGTAGATATCAAATGGAATCCAGAACACACAAAACATGCAGTATGTTCATGCAGATATAGAGAATGTCTACAGACATACAGAACTTACACTCCATCGAGGTGTTCTTTAAAATTTCCATCAAAAAAGCGGCATATCTCCATGATCATGTATAGTTTTCCCTGAAATTCCATGCAGAAGCGAAGAATGAATTAAATGATTCATATTGCATGCCCGCCAAAAGAAAACAAACCATGTAAATTGAACAAGCAACAAAGTACTTTTAAAATACACAGATTTGGGTGAAATCAGTATATATTGTTTTGCAACAATCAAGGTATATATATGTATATATGTGTGTGTATGTGTGTGTATGTATGTATATGTATGTATGTATCCCCCCCCCCCAAAAAAAAATATACATGCAATGCATGCATGCTTGCATGTATGTATATAGCACATGGAATAAAACTTACTCCTGCATCAGTTGCAATAGGCTTTCCAAGACGGCTCAACTCCATTTCTAGATCAATGATAGTTTTGTTGATAAAAGATTGGAGACTAGGAATGCGAGACTTGATGACAGACTCCAAATGCTAAGCAGCTCACACAATAAAGAATCAGTACGGTGATTAGGATACACTAGAAAATCGTTTCAAAGCACATAAGTGACCTAGAATAAAATTTCTCCTAAACAGGCAAGTGACCACGTGCAACTATGCAATAACAATGGGAAAATGCTTACCTTTGACAAAACTTTACCGAGGTGTTCTGAGCCCATTCTGTGAGCAAGATGTTTGTATTCAGGAGTGCTAGAAAAATATTCTCGCTCCCTACGCCTCGCAGCTATCATGTCGACATTTTTGTTAATATCAGCTTGAGAGCGATTAACCACACCAATCCATGGATGTGGTAGCCTGTACGCTCTTCCTTCCAATATCTGAATTTCCATGAACATGACTCAGAATAGGCATAGCTATTTGGTGAAAACAGCACTTCTAAAATGTCCTTGGATTCTAAAAGGGAAAATAATTCTAACACTTGTAAGACAGCGTTATCAAAACTTAAAATCTGCAATCAATTCTAAAGGGCTGGTTATAAACTCTTAAAAAATCATTTTCAATAGATTTTCAAACAACTACTAAGTAGTTTAGTGGAGAAACTTGCCTCAACTGCATCAGTACCCTTATCCATGAGATCAATTTTTGTCAGAACTCCAAATGTCCTCTCCCCTGCAGTAATAGGGGGAAGTATTAATATTGCAAAATCATTCTAGAAAATGATTACAGCCCAGTAGAATAAATAATCAAGTATGGAGGGAGATAAGTCATCATCATCAAGGAAAACCAAATATAATAACAGACTAACAGTCAACCATTCTTTACCTACAAAATACTTCTTACAAAATCACATAACACTCCAAACCCTTACCCTTTGGGTCTACTTCACGAGAAATCTTTATTGCATCTGATGTGGCCAAATCTTGGTTAGCAGGAGAAATCGCGAGAATAATGCAATTAGGCTGCATGTCGACATAAGATATGTAAATCAGATCCTTATTTAACCAAAATGGCAAAAACAATAATATCCTACTGACTACTATTAGCATTCCTGTAGCAACTAAATAAATATAATAAATAAATGGGAAAAGGGTCAAATAAACCCCTGTACTATTTAAAAACTCTCAATTAAACCCTTCTACAAAATAAAGTAACGTTTCAACTTTTAACACCCCTACGCCTAAAAAAATCAATGTAACCAACTTACAAGAATACAACCCCCTGTGGCAGGTTAGATGCATATTCAAAATTATTATTTCTTTCCTTTCATTTTTCTTTCTGTTCCTTTCCTCTCATCGAGGTCCACCCCTCCCTCCTACTGCATTTTTTTCTTTATTTTTCCTTTTTAAAATAACATGAGGGTCCCCTAGGCAATATATTACGGAATACTGCCGGTTTATATGGCATAAGAAAAGAAATCCGATAATGTATGGCATAAGAAAAGAAATCTGATAAAAACGTTATGTATGAATAAAATATCTGCCGGTTTTTTCTGTCAGAAATCTGAACTTGGCTGTCGGATAATTTGGCTGATGGGTTGTTTCTGACTTTCTGCCGCCAATGTTGTGCCCGGATGGCTCAAGAAGCCCAAGCAACCCCCTAGTCTCTCAACCGACTACCAAGTTCCAAATAGAATGCTTCTTTAGAACTTCCCTCCTGAACGTAATAAGGGTACATGAAGTGTTTATGCTCTTCTGTATGGGCATTCTGGTCTTCTGATACAACAGATCAGAAGAAGATTATAAAAAAATAAAGAAAGAAAAAAAGAACAATGGAGAGGAGAATGATGAAGAACATTTCTGGGGAGAAGCTAACAACTGGATGAGGAAGAAAACAATACGAAATAATTTCTTATGGAGAGAGAGAGAGAGAGAGAGAGAGAAGAGTGTGGGAATGAGACGCGAGAACCGGAAGAAGAAAGCTAAAGGCAAAAAGAAACAAAGTAAAGAAAAAGAAGAAAAAACAGAAGAAAGTAAAGAAAAAAGGAATAATAAATATGTGAAATCAGCAAGTGACCTGCTACAGAAGGTAATCTTCCAGTAAATTGATTCAATTGATGCTTATTTAATAGTAGATGTATTTGTATGATAGTTTTTTCAGTAGAGGTGTTGAGCTGATGGATTCAGAATACTAGAGGGGTCTATTTGACCCTTTTTCCTAAATAAATAGATATAAGGAGTACATAAATAAGACTTATACTTTCAATTTTTTAAACAACGTAATATACCTTCTCAATGTAAGATCGAACCATGTTTTCAATGTCATGCACAACACTTTCTGGCTGACCATCTATAATAGTTCCACGAGAAATGACATTTAGAAGAGATAAAATTAAGACCACTCAATAACTAAAGCAGTCAATAGGAAAAATATAGACTCACCAACAGCGACTTTAGTAAGACCAGGAAGATCAACCAATGTCAAGTTAACAACTGCCAGAGTAGAACAAGGATAAAAATACAATAAGCCAGTCAGGTTTCTGGATGGCATTCATAGAAATGAGAAAAAGGAGTGAAGAGGGGGGACGTATGAAAAGTTTATCCCTCTACCCACCCCACCTCCCACCTAAAAAAAAGTTCCAAGACAGTTGTTTAGTGTTGTAAGCAAAGACCACTTTGATCAACAAGCTATCAAGCCCAAAGGACTGCTTAATATCTTATATCAAATGTGTCAAGAGAGACAAAGGAATAACCAAACAGAGTAACCAACACCTCAAACTGTGCATAAAAGATGAGCCAATGAATAATGAAACTTGTATACTAATGCGCCATTTAGTGGCTAAGAAATGTGTCAACTAAATAGATCATACCATTAGGAGAATATATACTGAGATATATTGGAACACTTGAGATTGTTTTAGAGCGACCAGTCTCACGATCAGTTTCATCAGTAATTTCCTTCCTCACCGCAGCTGAAAATGGGTTAGATGATGCTTTTCAGTAATCAAAATAAATGACAGATAAAATGTTCTACAAGGGGTAATCTATGCAACATAGGGTACACGTAGGAGACCAAAAAGAGGTTGAACGTTCTCACAAGTCCCAGGCTGTATGGTTACAATAAATCAACATAAAAATTTTGATGTCACACTCATCATAAGACTTACCAAAATCAGTAAACTTTTTCCTTTGGAGGTGTCCGAATTCTGCATATTCCCTGCTTTCATCTATGCGATGAAGTTGCAGGACAAGTGGACGACGGGTCACAATGCCTGCACATTTTCCCAATCAATATTAAATGTGTGTACATCTGCATGAATGAAGGTTTATATTACTTCCTTATTTTAAGGATACCCAATATAATATATTTTGGTCAGATTCCATATTATTCATGCTGATCTTACAATATCGATCTTGCAAGAGTACATCTATAGCAGCTATCTTAACTCATCTATTTCAATCTCTATTTCATCTAATAAGTGTAGACTACGGCATAGAAGCTCGAGTTTAGCAACTCTTTATTTTGACCTTTTAGCCATTTAATATTTTAACTAGGAAATACTAATTTGCATACTATTTCCATATCTCCATGATAACAAATTGCACTCCTAGTGTATATACCATTGATTTCTAAGCTCGAATAGAAATGAATACTTTCTCAGTTATTAACCACAGTAGTTACCAGATCCACGTGGCAAGAAGTCCTTTCCAACAATGCTCTCAAGCACCGAAGACTTTCCTGAACTCTGTAAAATTGCACCAAAGAGAGAGTGAAGAATTGATATTTCAGGACTAATTGTTAGAAGAGCAAGGCAGAGAGCGAGTGTAATACGCCAATAACATTGTCCAGAATCTGGTTAACTATGGGGCACTTCCAAGCACGCGGCATTCAATTAGGTATATTTGATGGATTTGAAGACATCGTATCATTAATAACGAACCCCTTACTAATTGATGTACAGCTAGAGTTAAATCGAATTCTTCAAATCTTATAAGTTAAAAATCCAAACATGCGGTGTACGAATAAATAACAAATCTTTTTGTATATACAATTATGTACGCAGAGGGGAAAGATCTGGGGAGACCTGGCCGCCGACGACGGCAATGGAAGGCAACGCTTCCCACAGAGTAGGCAAGCCACCGTCCTCGCCGTGATCGCCAAGGGCGGTGCAAGCCCTCTGCAATCTATTGACCATAGAGATCAGGTTCTCCATTATATCCGTGCAACTGAAAGATCGACGACGATTTGAATAACGAACTGCTCAACGGAAAACCGTTCGGTGAGTTGACAGACCAGAGAGTATGATGGAGATGGAGAAATGAAGAAATTGAATATTGGTAGAAGTAGAACACAGGGCAACATGCAACTGAATCCAAATTTTGAACTGGTCTGAAAAATACTCGTATTTGGGATGTGATTTCACAACACCTTTTTTTTTTTATGGAACACCTTTTTTGTACTCGTAGAAAATTATGGAGGACTAAAACTCAACTTCTTTTTCCAAAATAAGACCACTGTTTTTTCTAAATAAGAATAACCTTACCTTTTTACCCCTAATTCTATTTAATTACTTAAGAGAATATTACCCAAAATAGGAGCAAAAAAGTTTGAAAATTTCAAAATAGAACTGTCATGTTTTTATTTCCAAAATAGGACTAATTATTGTCATGTTTTGGCAGTACCAAACTTCAAACATGGCAGTATTTTTCAAACTTAGCAGTAATTACTCCTATTTCGGGAATAAAAACATGATCGTCCTATTTTGGAATTTTTAAACATTTTTAGTCCTATTTCGGGAACTTTCCCCCAAATTCCCTTGCACAACCAAGGCAGTCTGTCAGTGGCGAGGCAGTCCGTGGTGGCGGCAGCCCTCCGGCAGCGGCAGATTCCGGCAGCGGTGGCAACAACTCGGCAATTAATTAACCCAATTAATTGCCCCCTAGTTCTCTTGGACAATCAAGGCAGCCCGTTGGTAGCAGAGCAGTCCGTGGTGGCGACGGCGGTTTCCGACGGCGGTGGAGAACTCCGGCGGCTGCGGACGGCGGCAGAATGTTGGTAGACCGCCAGGAAAAAATTCTTGAATTTTTCCGGCGGCGGCCGGCAGCGGCGGGAGGTGGTCGAAGACAGGCAGCAGGCAGCAGTCTAGGGGCAACTGTGGGGGTATTTTGGTCCAATCACACATTAAAAGTTCTATTTAAAAATGTTTAAACTAATTGGTCCTATTTTAGGAAAAATGTCATGTTTTGCTCCTATTAAGGTAAATCTCCTCTCTTTTTTCACGGCACTTTTTTTTTAAAATAATCGGTTGAGCATAGCTCCCTTCACACTCCTTCAATCCTTGTTTTTTTTATCGTCAAAACTCAATATATTTAAATCAAAAGGTCATTAGCCAGCTGACTAGATATACAATCAGGCGCTAATTCATAAATAAACTGCTGATCTGGTGAATGGACATGTGCTCGAGCTAAAGCATGAGCTATATGATTCGCAGACCTTTTACAAAAAGAGATAACTAAATTACTCTTTAAAGCATGTAAAGCAATGATATCCTCCAAAATGAGGGAAAGATAAGAGTGACCCTGTTTGCTTTTCAATCCTCGAACCACCGTCTGAGCATCCGTCTCCACAATGACTTCATTCCATCCTGAAACTATAGCTTCCTGAACAGCGTCTCGAACACCCAATGCCTCGGTTTCTTTTGCTGTCCACCCAGCCGAATGTGACACACTTTTAGCTTTCAAAAAATCTCCATTTTCATCCCGGGCAATCTAACCCCAAGTGCGGACCCCTCCTCTTTGATTAACTGCCCCATCCACGTTTATTTTCACCACCCCCACTGCCGGTTTTCGCCACCTGCCCTCAGCCGAGCACCCAGCACTTCCCGAAGCAGAAGCTCCAGGCCGCGAAAAAACAGCCCCTGAGACAGCAGCAGAAACCTGCGCCTCCCTCCATCGTTGGAGCATATTTTCTGCCATTCGAACCACCTCCCCTGCACAACTTTGTTGTCCCAAACAACTTTGTTTCTTCTCTTCCAAATGCACCATAACATCGCAATAAACGTGCCCCCCATCAAAACCGACATCTGCCCAATGTTCTGCTGCAACCATACTCCCAGCTCCTCTTGAGAAGCTTTAGTCTGGACACCAGCAAGCTGCCAAATATCCTCAACCCCCTGACAGGTTCGAAGTGCATGGTCCAAAGACTCTTCCGAACAGCCACAAATTTTACACCCACCTTGAATATTAATTCCTTTCCTCCTCAAATTCTCAACTGTTGCCAGGCAAAATACTTAAATTTAGGAGGTATGTTGAGATCCCATAACTTGCCCCATCCGTCCCAAGCACCCAATGATTGGTCTCCCACCAATCTTCTATAGCAACTTTTAACTGAAAAGTTACCATTTTTCTCCCCATTCCAATAATAAGAATCCTCTCGGTCTGAGAGACTAATAGGGATGCTGAGAATGAGCTTCCTATCATCTTCATTAAAGATATTATAGAGTCTTTCATTGTTCCATTCCTTACCTGTCCAATTTCCGAGAGCAGCCACATTCATATCTTTAATTCCTTGAGGTCTCCCAGAAGAAATCCTTCTGGACCCCTGCCCTGGAAGCCAGGCATCAGCCCAAACCTGCACATTAACTCCGTTCCCCACTCTTCGCCGGACATTATTTTTAAGAACCTCCTGAGTTTCAAAAATACTACGCCAAATAAAAGAAGGATTATTACCCAACTTGGCCTCAAGAAACGAAGACTAGCTCTGGGTAGTATCTGTCCTTAATGACTCTGCTCATCAAACTCTTTTCTTCAGAAATTAGCCGCCAGCCTTGTTTAGCTAGCATAGCTAAATTAAATTCTCGAATCCGCCTAAAGCCTAGGCCGCCAGCCCCTTTAGGTTTACATAACACTTCTCATCGCCTCCAACGCAATTTCACTTCGAATTTCGGACCTCACCACCCTCTTGAAGACCCTTCTTCTCGCAAGAGACGGTTCGATAGCAGCTTATGGATTGGTGTACAGCCTCAAATGAAATTCTAATTTGTCACCAAAACCGGTTGAGGCTGCATTCATTTATTCATATTCAACTTTACACGTGGAAAAGGCTTACTCTCCTAGTGGCCCTCTCCTTCCCCACTCTTTGAGTCGATGACTCCTCTTGGCTTTGTCTCATTGTCTATCTCGTAATCATTCGATTCCGCCCTGAAGGCTAGCTCCTACTCCTCCTCCTTCCCCTTCGTATCCTTCATCGTCGTTGGTCCTTGTAAATCGATGGCTTTCTTCTCTTATGTTCAAAGCTTGAAGGGCTAGGCTTGCTGCTGGGGTTTCATTTCAAATCTGAAAGAGCTCGGCCTTTTATTTTTGAATTTTGCCCCCCTCCACCAAAATCCATTCATGAACTTCTCAATATCATCACAAAGGTCTTTTGGCAGCAGGAAAATGTTCATTGCATAGCTAGCTTGGCATTGCCTGAATCACATTCTTTAGAAGAACCGCCCTTCCTGCTCGTGATAAAAACTTAGTGTTCCAACTTTTGATCCTGCCGTAGATTCTTTCCTTGAGGTAGCTTAATATCACGGTTTTGTTTTTCCCCACTAGCGTCGGAAGCCCAAGATACAAGCTCTGACTGCCATCCCGCTCGATGCCGAAAAAATGACAGCAGTATTCCTTAAAAGGCTCTCCAATATTCGGACTAAATGTGAGCGAAGACTTGTTAAAATTCACCATCTGACCCGACCACCTCTCATATGTGTGTAAAATATTTTTGATTGACACACAATCAGTCTCTGTTGCCTTGAAGAAAAGGAAACAATCATCCGCAAATAATAAATGGGAGACTCTAGGAGCATTTTGACATACTGAAATTCCATGAATGTTCCTCTCTTGTTCCGCCCTCCGTATCATCGCACTCAACCCCTCTGCAACCAAAATAAATAAATATGGGGACAAAGGATCCCCCTGCCATAATCCTCTTCCTGGCACAATAGGCCCCAAAAAATCCTTATTAAAATGAATGTAATAGCTAACAGTAGTTACACACACCATGACAATATCAATCCATCTAGGGCTAAATCCCATACGAGACATGACGTTTCTCAAAAAACTCCAGCTCACTCTATCATAAGCTTTACTCATGTCCAACTTCATAGCCACCCATCCTTCCTTCCCTGTGTGCTTTCTTTTTAAAAAGTGTTGAGTCTCAAAAGCCATAATAATATTATCAACAATAAATCTGCCAGGAATAAACGCACTCTGATTCTCACCAATCAAAGAGCCCAAAATAATCTTCAGTCTGTTCGCTAAAATCTTCGAAATTGTTTTAGACAACATTGCATAGAGCTATAGGTCTCCAGTCCCCCATAGATTCTGGCTTGTCTTTCTTAGGAATTAAAACAATATTAGTTATATTTAATTCCTTAGGCATCACTCCAGAATTAAAAATACATGTACAAAGCCGAACCACCTCTGCCCTACCATATCCCAAAACTTCTGAAAAAAGTCGGATTCATATCGTCCGCTCCTGGGGCTTTATCCGGATACATGTCAAAAATGGCTGCTCTAACTTCCTCTGCGTTGATCGGTTCTATCAATTTCTCATTCTGCCCCACCGAGACCAGACTCAAGTTGCTCAGGTCGTCCTCCATACCCCCCCCCCCCCCGATTAGCTTGAAAAATATTCTCAAAATAATTGGAGACCATACCTTCGAGCTCGCCCCGATCTGTTTTCGACTCGCCATTTTCTCCCCCCAAACCTTGGAGTCTATTTTTCCTCCTTCTCTGTTTGACCGCATTATGGAAGAATTTGGAATTTATATCACCTTCCTTTAGCCAAAACTCCTTGGCTCTTTGCTTCCAGTACATATGTTCTTTCTCCATTAGACTTTGGATCACCACCTTTAAGCGGTTAAACTCATCTAAGCTTCTATGGTCTGACCGACCACGTAAGTTCACCAATTTCTTTTTACACGCCAGAATTTGGTGGCGAAAGCCCTTCAGCCGGCAGCTATCCCATCTCATCAGTTCCTTACCACAAAAAATAATACGTTCACTGACTGACAACTCCCGTCCCGCATACCAACTATTAACCACCACTGTTCTGCATTCATCCTCTTTAAGCCATAAATTTTCAAAACGAAAAACCTTCTATTTTTTACCATGAATTGTCAGCTTAATGTTTATCCAGAGGGCCATATGATCACTGGTAGGAGCTTCCACTGAAAAAGCCTGGGCCTCCATAAAACTATCCCACCAATCAATCATCATTGACAAGAATTATGTCCAGTTTTTCTTCTACCCAGTAAGTCTTCCCCTTCCCTCGATCCCATGTCCACTGATAGCCTTGGAATGGGAAGTCTTGTAGTCCACAACTAGAAACTGCTTCTCTAAAGCCTCTCAACCGCCAACTCGGATGGACAATATTTCCTCTCTTCTCAGAATCAT